GTGTGCGTGCATGCGTGCGTGCGTGTGCGCGTGTGCGCGTGTGCGTGTGCGCGTGCGCGTGTGCGCGTGTGCGTGTGCGTGTGCGCGTGTGCGTGTGCGCGTGTGCGTGTGTGCGTGTGTACATATACATATTCATACACTAATAAATAATAAGAAAATTAAAGTTAATTGAAATATGTAACTAAATGAATAAATTTTTTAGGTGTATATTGATGCTTCGATACGCTTGGATGTTAGGTGATTCTAACATGATAAATATTAATATATTTGGTTTATTGACAAATATGATTTATATGATAATTTACTATTATTATGCACCAAATACGGTACTTTATCTGACTATTGAAACATACTTGATTTGTAATTAATCGACACTTTTTATTATATAATGTTTTTTTTTTTTTAGAAGGAGGTACTTAAATTAATATATAAAGTAACAATCTTTGTTGGAATTTTTCTTGTCTATGCACAAATGGAACATCCAGCAAATGTTGAATTTAGATTCGGTATTGTGGTTACAGTACTTCTCCTTCTTTTAATTGCAGCTCCTCTTGCGCATCTTGTGAGCAAATCTTGTTTTCTAATATATCTTAAATATTTTAAAATATGTATGTGTATTTTAATCATAGTTATAATATGATAATATAATTAAAATATTTGTTTTTTCTTTTAGAAAAATGTTATAAAAACGAAAAACACAGAAATTCTTCCATTTCCACTTATATTTATGGGTACATTAGTTTCATTTCAGTGGTTATTGTACGGCTTTATCATTGACAATGTTTTTATTATTGTAAGTATTTACAATGCAATTATAAAAAATAATTTTTATAATATATATTACATATATTAATAATATTATATATAATATAATATGATATATTATTAGTTTCAGAATGCAATTGGTTTCATTCTTAATATAGCTCAGTTATCTTTGTTCGTGATATTTCCATCTAAAAAATCACAAGTTGACTTATTGAATGACCACAGAAAGGAAAATTAATTTTTTTAATTTTTTAAATAAAAAATATTTTTTATTTGAAATTATTCTCTATATACATATATATATATATACATAAATCAATAGTATTATACTGAATATATTTAAAGCTTATAAGAATATTCCAAGAAAGTCGTAGAAAAGATTACAATTAAGTTTTATATACAGAGTGTACAAAAATTCTGGATCCCTTAAATGTCTTGAAAACTAAGCATTTCTGAGAAAAATTTCACACTAAAGTTGTAAGGTTAAAAATGATCTATTTATTGACCTTATCAATTTGATCTTGGATGTTATTAAGGTCAAGTCAAAGTCAAAGATTTTTTAAATATTCTATTTTTAATTTTAGAATTTAATAGCGGATGTCAGAAGCTTTTCAAAACACTATAATGAAGCCTTTTTTTAATCAGTACTTTTTAAGTTATGAGACTTGAAAGTTACAGAACCATTAGCATTAGCTAAGTGCT